ATATATATAATACAATTAAAAAAAGAGTGAGTACACAAGAGCAATTCACAAACACAGGACCCTACAAATAATAATGACAACTAACCAGGAGGCCCATTGTTATAGCCTACTTTACATTCTTTTTCATCAGTAGTATTATTTGTGATTTGAATTTTGTGAATGGGAGTTCCTCTTTTGACATGTTATAGCAGGGCTTTGGATGCTTTCACTTTCGATTTCACGATCTTGTCAGGTTTTACAATAAAATATAATTGTCTGTTTTGCTTACATCTATACACCTTTCACCTTTTAAGACAAAAAAAAAAAAGATGGATTCATTATTTTTAATTAAAATGCACAACAACATTAAAACAGTAAGATTCAATGACAAACTAGCTTACAAAACGTTATTAACAAAAACAAATAAGATGAGGCATGGCATAGGCCTACACGCTGTATTAGGCTATATAATGACTAATAAATTACAGAACGTTTAGCAAACACTGAGGAATCAAAGAAAAAAGAAAAAAAAAGAGAGAGCCTCCATAGCATAAGGTATGGAAGTCCGTTTCTATGGAAGCCCGTTTCCGCCACTGAATAAAAAAGAAAAAAAAAAGAAAGGTAATTGCGACTTTTTATCTCACAATTTTGACTTTTTTTCACAGAGATATAAAATATAAACTTGCAATTGCGAGTTATAAAGTCAGAATTGCGAGATATAAAGTCAGAATTCTGACTTTTTTCCACAGAATTGTGAGATATAAACTCGCAATTGCGAGATATAAAGTCAGAATTGCCAGATATGAACCCAGCTAACAAAAAAAAGGTCCCCAGGACGTCCCCTAAATGGCCTCTGCGAACGTCACCCGGACGTCAGCGTGTAGGGTCCCCTTTTACGTCGAGCGGACGTCCGCGAAGACGTCCTCCGGACGTTCAAGGGGACGTTCACAGGACGTGCAGCGGCCATTCGGGACGTTTAGGGGACTTTCGCTGTAAGTCCTCTGAATGTTATGTTATTTTACTTTTAGGCTAATCAAAGACAACAGACACGTTGTATGGAGCAAAATACGTTTATTTTAATTGAACAATTGTAAAGTTGCGGTGCTCTTTCCGTGTGTGTGTGTGCGTCTCTGGTTGTCAGCTGTGGTTAGTCCGATGGCAATTCTTCCCATTGTCTTCTAACCTAAAACAACAAAATGAACACATTTGGATTTAGACCAAGCGGTCCGAAATGTAGCGCACATAGGCCTTTTTGCCGCATATAGGCGTATCAGTGTGTATTTTTACCATATGGAAATTCAATATTTAAGTTAAATAACTGTCAATATTATATACGTTTAATCATTTCAGCTTTACATGCTAACGTTAGCTTCGAAAGTGTTCACATAGGCTAACGTCAGCAGCCGTACGGGACAACTTCAGCAAACGTTCACATGCTGTATTATATACCGACTAATAAATTACAGAATGTTTAGCAAACACTGAGGAATCAAATAAATAAATAAAAGAGAGCCTCCATAGTTTAAGGTAAACAGCAAAGGTAAGTTTTTCAAAAATGAAAACAAAAAGAAAAGTAAAACTAACGGTGACTGTGCTAGCATGTTTTTTCCCCCCACAAAAATACCAGCATGTTCACCTTCTCTGGTTTAAGAAGCGGTCTTTTACTTTACTTAAGCGTGAAAACCATCAATATTCGCGTCATTTTTGCTGAGCGCACCTTCTGCAATTAATAGTAAATATAACCAAAAAAGGTCATTTATAATTTTTATATGAAAAAATAAAATAAATATAAGGAAAACTCGCCCACTTGATTTTGTAATATTCTTTAATTGCGTAGTCCGTATGAAAATGTGCATTTCTATTAAAGGCACGTCCATGTGGAGATGGCGAGTCAGCGTCGGCATTCGGCAGCCTCATCTTTGCACCCGACACTGACTCAGAAAGCACTAGTTTATTAATATATTATTATATTAATCAATTTAATATAACGTGCGACTAGTTGACTAGAAAAATCTTTAGTAGAGGGCAGGCCTATACTTAGCACAAGGAAGCTCTCCATTTTTAAAATAAAATGCTATTGCCTAATGACATTACGAAAAGTGCGACAGCTGCAAATCACATCGTTATTGCACTGCGCGAGTTATGCATATATTTTTTTTATCACCCTAGTTAGATTATGAAGAATGATTTGTTGATCTTGTTTTCCCTTTAATACATAGCCTACCTTCTGCAATATATTCTTCAATTACTTTCAAAAAAGTGGTAGGGACAATATCGACCCTGGCAAAAAGTGGTGGGGACATGTCCCACCCATCCCACCCGCAAATTACGCCTATGGTCATAGCGTCCCTACTAAATTCTATACCCTTGAAAATCATAACTAACATTTGTATGTGTATTCTTTCTTTTTCTTTGTTTTGTTTTTATAACTTTACTGCCTTAATGTTTTGATTTTCTGTACAATTTAATAAAAAAATAAATCACAAAAAAAGATCCACACACCAAAGTTTTGTTTTTATAACTTTTCTGCCTTAATGTTTTGACTTTCTGTACAATTTAATAAAAAAATAAATCAGACAAAAGATCCACGCTCTGAAATTTCTTTCTAAATCAAATGATTCATGAACCCACTCCGAAGTCCCGATCTGAATCAAAAGATTAATGAACCTGCTCGGAAGATCAAATAATTTGCGATCCGCACTCCTTAGTCCTGATCAGAATAATAATTCGCGAACCATCAGATCGGGACTTCGGAGCATGGTTCGTGAATCATTCAATTCGCGAAATGATTGGCGAACCCACTCCGAAGTTCCAATCTAAATCAAATGATCCGCGATATGTGCTCAAGTCCCCACATGAAATTATTCGCGAACCCGTTCCAAAGTAACAATTTGAATCATGATTCGCGAACACGCACTGAAGTCCTGAACTGAAACAAATTATTCACGAACAAGCTCCGAAGTCCCGATTTAAATAAAATGACTTGTGATACATGCTTTGCAGTCCTGATCTAAATAAAATGATTAACAATAGCCTATGCGATCCGATTGGAACAATTTGAAACAGTGAATCATTGGTTTCAATGGTTTAACTGATTCAGAGTTTTGAAAAGCTCCGTTTCACCCATCACTATACATGCTTTTTAAAATAATTACAAGCGACGAAACGAAACGAAATGCTCTTTTGACCTGTTTTTTTTTGCTAGTGAACTGTTTGAACTTATCAAAGTCACGGATTTGAATCAATCGGAATGGTTCCAGTGTAAATGACTCACTCAGTTGATTTGGCTTGTCTGTTCCTCCTCTTTTCGCATCTTCAGCCATGTTTGCACGGCACTGTAAGTACTACTATTGTCTTAATTCACTAGTTTTGGCATTAACTGAAATAAGTGAAAAAAAGTATTATGTTTACAAATAAAATATCCATATTTCCATTCGAAATATAACATCCAATCTACGAACATATTCAGGTGTTTCTAACTAGAGAAAACATAAAACAATATAACGATCGATAGAACGATAGATACTGTAGAACAATAGAATGATAGAACGATGGATAGAACGAGAGAACGATAGATAGAATGATAGATAGATAGAACGATATATAGATAGGCTAGATAGATAGATAGATAGAGAGATAGATAGATAGATAGATAGATAGATAGATAGATCTATATTAATGGCTGCAGTCAATGTCATCCTTCATTGTTTTTTATTTTCTTTCTTTTTTTTTAAATAACAAAAGTTAATTTGTGAAAAGGCAATAATAATAATAATACAAAAATTAATAATTATGATTGAGATGACATAACGTTGTGACTTCTGTTGGTGGTGACCACCACAAATGATGGCATATACATCGAGAGATGCACACGCACACACACTCTCTCACACACACACACACACACACACACACACACACACACACCAAGATCAATGTAATGACGAATGAGTTTGACTTTGAAATGATGAGAGACTCCTACAGAGGGGTGAGTTTAAATTGAGGGCAAAGCTGATAACAGAAAACTATTGAAGTGAAAAGATTACTTGAAGAAATGACAGAGAGAGAGAGATCAGAGAAGAAAAGAGGCTCTTAGACGCTGAGAACATATGTGTCTGTGTGTAATCATGTGTTGAGATCATTTGACTGCTTGATAGTTGATTTTCAGCATGTCTGCTCACTCTGAGTGTAACAAAACAGTAACTTCCTCTTCACTCAAGTGTCTTTCCAGCTTAGCTTTGAAGAATTTATTAAATGTCTGTTCTTGTATTGTTTACGTTATTGCAAATACTTGACTGATTTCAGTCATTATGCTGTCTTAATAAAGCATTATTGATTCATTACTTTCTAGTCTGGCAGATTCATCAAACAAATCACCCTCCATAAATGATTTACAGATATGTATTAGTTTCAAGATGACACATAACTTTAGTTTGTACAAAGCAGCCAGTGATTAATCATTTGTTTTATTATGGTAGATATGCAAAGATGACAACTGCTACAATGTCGTTTTTCATATTGATATTTATGTATATATTTATTTGTCCAGAATGTGCTTCGGCTGTATGAGCTGGATGGGACACCTTTAGTACTCACAGTAGTAAATTTGGTTCATTACATAAGCTCATATTTGAACAAAACATGAAATGCAAATGCTTAAGTTTATGAGATTTTTTCCTGCCTTTTCAGCTAGAGCTGGTTTTTCTTTCTCTATCTGCAGAAGGATTTAGTTAATTAAAGCAATTTGACTTCCACAGAGTCTGAATGCACTAAGCAGGCAGTATTCAATAAAATCATTTGTGCAGAGCCAGAGCTGTTTTGTTTTGGATAATTGGTTAAGATTTTATCTACTTTTTTCTATCTTTCATCCATCCATCCATCCATCCCCAACCATTCGTCTATCCATCTATCTATCTATCTATCTATCTATCTATCTATCTATCTATCTATCTATCTATCTATCTATCTATCCTCAAGGCTTTTTACATTTTTTCTTCCTTCCATCCATCCATCCATCCATCCAAGGCTTATAAAACTTTTGTTCTATCTTTCATCCATCCATCCATCCTCAAGGCTTTTCAATTTTTTTCATCCATCCATCCATCCATCCATCCATCCATCCATCCATCCATCTATCCATCTATCTATCTATCTATCTATCTATCTATCTATCTATCTATCTATCTATCTATCCTCAAGGCTTTTTACATTTTTTCTTCCTTCCATCCATCCATCCATCCATCCAAGGCTTATAAAACTTTTGTTCTATCTTTCATCCATCCATCCATCCTCAAGGCTTTTCAATTTTTTTCATCCATCCATCCATCCATCCATCCATCCATCCATCCATCCATCTATCCATCTATCTATCTGCAAGGCTTTTAATTTTTTTTTCAACCATCCATCCTCAAGGCTTTTTAAATTTTTTCTTCCATCCATCCATCCATCCATCCATCATCTATCTATCTATCTGCAAGGCTTTTAATTTTTTTTTCAACCATCCATCCTCAAGGCTTTTTACATTTTTTCATCCATCCATCCATCCATCCATCCATCATCTATCTATCTATCTATCTATCTGCAGGGCTTTTAATTTTTTTTTTCAACCATCCATCCTCAAGGCTTTTTACATTTTTCCATCCATCCATCCATCCATCCATCTATCTATCTATCTGCAGGGCTTTTATTTTTTTTTCAACCATCCATCCTCAAGGCTTTTTACATGTTTTCTTCCATCCATCCATCTATCTATCTATAGTTCTTTCATAATTTTATTTTAATAAATGTTCATAACTTATATTAATCAATATATATATATATTTTTTTTAACAAATGTAACTTTATTTTTTAAAAACAAAATGATTTGAAACATTTCAGAAATGAATTCATTTTCTTTGCACATACACCAGACAATGTAGGATGACATGCCGCCTCTAATCTACAGCCTTCTTTTCTCAAGACACTGATAGTTAAGATTTGGATTTGGGTTGTAGAAACTGATCCTACGCCAGCAAACTATTTAGTTTTATAGTGAGCATTATCCTATCGCAAAAGGCAGGACTGAATGATATAATTCCACCACAAAGCCTTGACAAATCAATAGAATCTGCATTTATGTGCGTTATGCACACATACACACATCAGCAGTGACTAATACTAACACACAAAGGACCCCACACCAGTAAACTCCTGAATATTAATAGACTCAGAAAACTGATATTTGCAAATCCGTGCAGAGCAGTTCAGCAGCAAAAGTATTAGATACACAGTCTATCAAATCTACATTAATCTGATGAGTGGAGAGTTCAATCCGACCCAGCTGTTGGAGGTTTCGGCTTCTCTGCAGGGTTCTGACCGTCTGCTGCTCCACTGCATGGACAGATGTGACCACAGCATGATCCACAGAGAGACAGCCGTCTTTACACTTCTCTTTCTGTGTCACACATGCATGGTACATTTTTATTTCAATGACATTCAAGGGGTCATATTATGAGTAATCAAATGTTCTATCTTCTTTAGACATTAAAGTATTCATTATACTATGAAAACATATTTTATATACTGTATGTAATTAAACTAATTTGCAATAATGGCTTGTTTTATATTAATGCATATGTCTCTGCTAGGATGTAATCCAGCAGTTCAATACAATCTTTTATAGTTTGTTTTCTTATAGTTCTTATAGTTTTTAGGCTTTCTTTTATAAAACTGTAACAAAATCGGTCATAATTTAGATTCTCATGAAAGAATTGATCCCTCTAAAAAAAAACTCAAAAATAAATAAATAAACAAATAAATATAAAATAAAAACTATTATAAAAAATAATATCTATCTCTATATATATATATATTCATGAGAAACTAAATTATGACTATGAAATTTCCAATTTACTACATCGTAAGTGGACCTCAAAAATTAAAATAAAAATGAAATAAAATAAAATGATGAATAAACCTTAATTAAAATTAATGTTAAAATCTAAGTCAATCAGATATTGCACTACATCAGAGATTTTGTTAGGGTAGAGAGTACTTGCTCTGATCGAAAACCATCCCTTGCTGATTATCACATAAAAGACCCTTTGTTAAATAAACTGTTTAAAACATAAAAAAAAAAAAACATCTCTTCAGTCATTAGGCCTGAAGAATGTATAACAAGGAACTCAAAAGCATTCTTGTAACAGTTTTAGCCCCACATGTGGCTCTGCTGGTTTCATCCTGGAGCTGTGTGTGTGTGTGTGTGTACTGGTATATATTGTTTATGAGGACACAAATGTGTATAATAACATGGGTACTACAACATAAATATGGTTTATGAGGACATTTCCTGTGTCCCTGTAAAACAAAAGGCTTAAAAAACATACAAAACGGTGCTTTATGAAATTAAAAAATTGCCAGTAGTTTTCTGTAAGGGGTAGGTTTAGGTGTAGGGTTGGTGTAGGGCAACAGAAAATACCGTTTGTACAGTATAAAAACCATTATGCATATGGAGAGTACCCATAAACCATAAAACTCAGTGTGTGTGTGTGTGTGTGTGTGATTAATACTTCAAGTGGTACCTTCTTTTTCAACTGCTAGATTTGTCTTTAGAGAACTGCTGAAAGCTTCTGATGCTTCCTCTGGGGTGTCGTATGTGAAATAAGCTGTACAGTATTAACACAACAACAACAACATTATAGGTGCATTATCCAGAAAAGCTTCTT